TTTTTTTTTTTTGGCTATACAGCTATCATTTAGACACAAAGGAGGGGAATGGTAAATTCTGGGAATGAGCAAAGGTCAGGAACAGCTTGAGAGGAAGTAATGCTTTAGCTTGAGTGTTCTCTCTTAATTCAGCAAGCAGAAGCTATTTTAAGTGATGTTACAGTTATAGTTGCACCTGGAATCCATTTGGGCACAGCAAACCCAGAAAAGGACAGGTGTTTCTCTTGGTCTAATAATTCTCTGTGGTTGCAAGTTTGGGAATTCTTTAGGGGCTAGTCAAGCCATCGCCTGGTGTTGAACTACACAGGCATAATCAAACCACATACCAAGAGTCTTCCTTATCTGATTTCCGCCTCCTTGAACTTTACTATCTCCAGGGCAACTGAACTGATCAGGATGGTGCCATCCATGCAGTGATCTAGGTATCCCTTTATCATGTTGTATGTAGGCATCTAGGCCTCCTTTGCAACCATGCAAATTTGCTCCCTTAGCTCCTTTCCAGGAGATTGGATGGAGATATTGAGTACTTGCAAGACTAGTGTGCAGGCCCAAGGCTTGGAAATGATCCAGTCCACTAAAGCCCCAGATGGATAGCCAAGCAAGAGGTTTGCTGTATCTTTGTGCTCTTGCCAGCCCATTGAGATCATAGATGCATTAAATTTCTCCTGAACCACTCTGCATTGGCTCTTACTTTGCTTGAAGAGTGGAAAACCACACCTATCAGGGTATCACAAACAACTCTATAGATTGAAGCAATTTCCATCATGGAGAACTCAGGGGTCTTATCCTTAAAATCAGAATGAAAGAGAGCTCACATGGCAGCCATCTCGGTACACTGTTTTCATAAACTTGTACAGTTGTTCTCTCTTGGACCCAACACCATTAAGGGCATCATGTAATCCATCAATAACAAAACATAAGAATACAAGTCCCAGAGTGACGTCATTGAACTTGCTTCTCCACTTCGCATTGAGCATCAATTTGCCATTCCTCTCCAAAGCTTCAACCTTTCCAATCCCAGGTTACTCTGTCCCTGCAACATCTAGAAACCCCCTGAGCCTTCCTGTGATGGATGAGAACTCGCCGTCTCCCTGTGTTGAGGAGTCCTAATCACTGTCATCTGTGTGGGGCCTCTTTCCTGGGTTTTTCATTTCCATTGGTTCGTTAGGTTTATAGTTGGGTTTATAGTTGGCTGAATTCTTTGTTGCAAAAAAAAAAACTAGAAAAACAAATTCCCTGTCAAATTCAGATGAGTTCCCCATAAACATGTATCATACAGCATCAGTGAAAATTTGTTGAATGAATGGAGGCTGGGGCAAAATGCATGAAGCCTTCAATATCAGGTTAAGGTGTGGGCCTGGCTAAAGCCTGGCCTAAGCTGTCTCTCTGTTCCAGGTGGCATGGTACAATGAACTCCTGCCTCCAGCTTTCCACCTGCCCCTGCCAGGACCTACCCTGGCCTTCCTGGTACTCAGCACACCTGCCATGTTTGACCGGGCCCTCAAGCCCTTCTTGCAGAGCTGCCACCTGCAACTGCTGACCGACCCTGTGGACCAGTGTGTGGCCTACCATCTGAACCGTGTTAGAGAGGTGAGGAAGGTTCAATTTTCTCCCAGCTCCCAGACCTATAGCTGCCTTGAGCTCCTCCAAACTCATTGCAGGAGTTAGATCCAGAGATAGTCACTTGAAAGGTGAAATGATACCAGAAAGCCAGCCTTGACAATCTGTGATCTCTCCCCATTCTGCCTTCTCATACCCAGGTTCCACCACCTTCCTCTAGAAGACCCACAGTCTGAAACCAGCTTCACTCACCCACACTGATGGGCAACTATATGTACCAAAGACCTGGCTTTCCTTGGTCTCCAAGTGGAATAGGAATGAGCCCAACATTCCCCAAGCATTGCTTGCTTACCTGCCTTTGCCCTAGACCTGTAAGCTTTATGCTGTCTTCGGGTCCTTTTGAGAATAGAACAATATTCCCCCACCACATGTAACATATGCACATACATAAGTAAACACACACTGGGTCTCCCCAAAGCTGGATCGTGTCTTCCTCCACACTGGGACTTGTGTATTTCCCTTCAAACATGGCCCACCTGGAAAGAAGTCTGTCTCCACAGTGGAGGCCCCCAAGTTAAGGTCATGTTTTCCCTTCAAACAGGACTTCTGAGGACAGGACTGTATCAACACACCAACTAGGACAAGGTCATGACTCCCCTTGTGCTAACAGAAGCCTTTCTCTTGTCCTCTGTCCCAGAGCCTCCCAGAGCTGCAGATTGAAGTCATTGCCGATTATGAGGTGCACCACAATAGGCGCCCAAAGATTCTGGTCCAGACAGCAGCCCACGTGGCAGGGGCTGCTTACTACTACCAACGACAAGATGTGGAGGCTGACCCCTGGGGGACCCAGGTCAGACAGCAAGTGTGAATGAGTGGGGACTGAGAGAAAATGGTCAAGTCCCCTCAAGATAGCCCTGTCATGCCCCACACTCCTCAGCCTTCCCTGGATGAAGGATTTGTTAGATACAACCCAGGACAAAGAAGCTGTGTCTGCCCTGCAGTCCAGTCCCATTACATGCTTTCTGGAGTTTACTTGGGGACACATCAGGTCAGAAAACCTGGTCTCTTCTTAAAACCCTACATGGAAGGGGCCAAACAGCGATCAGGAGACCATTGGTGACACTGGGAAGTTGATTGAGGCCCAGCCCTTCCTTGTGCTCAGAATTTTTGAGAGGGTCGTCCAGAAGACAGGGACAGGACTTACATGTATAATCAGTGTCCACTGAGTGGGAAATAAGTGGACAAGCCTAGCTTGCAGTAATGGTAGCTGGATTCAGTGCCAAAGGGACCTCCATGACTTTGCTTTTCTTCATCCTCTCCCCAGCACATTTCAGGAGTATGCATACACCCCCGATTTGGAGGGTGGTTTGCCATCCGAGGGGTAGTGCTACTGCCTGGGATAGAGGTGCCAGATTTGCCACCCAGAAAACCTCCTGACTGTGTGCCTACAAGAGCTGACCGTATCGCCCTTCTTGAAGGCTTCAATTTCCATTGGCGTGACTGGACTTACCGGGATGCTGTGACACCCCAGGAGCGCTACTCAGAAGAGCAGAAGGCCTACTTTTCCACTCCGCCTTCTCAACGATTGGCCCTGTTGGGCTTGACCCAGCCCTCAGAGAAGCCTAGCTCTCTATCCCCTGACCTTCCGTTTACCACACTCACCTCTAAGAAGCCTCAGAACCCCAGCAAAGCCCGGGGCTGGCTCAACCCCAGTGTCTCACCACCAGCATCCCCTGGCCCTTGATACCTTCCTCCCCTGGGAGACCCCCATTTATGGTGGTACTTGCTAGGACTTAATTGGCTTTGCCAAAGCAAGACAGGTTTTATTTTTGGTACAGGATGGACTATTATATTAGTAATATAATAGAGATCTTCCACGAAGATGATTAAGAAGTCAAGACAAATCAGGCCAAGTTAGATCCCCAATTCCCATCTGCCTTTGAATATGGGACTCTTCCATCTATTACCACATCTATGCACAGCTCCCAAAATGCTACTTATTAGAGGGGGCCTATGGGGTAAACATCCCCTGAAGAGTTCCTACCTCACAGGGTTGTTGTGGGGACTGAATAAACACATGGAAAGCATTTTGGGAAAATGCCTGGCACATTGTAAACAGTTAATGTTGGCTGTTACTGTAGGCCCTGGGAATCCTGTACTGCTGCTCTTGTCTAGTCTGGGTTCTGGAGGAGTGGACAGGCTTGGGTAGCTGATAACAAGTGGCTAGAAAGGCATCACAATGCACAGAAGTATCCTCAGTTCCCTCAGTTCTTAATCTACCCTAGCCTCAAGGGCCCAGGAAGAATCTTTTTGCTGACAACCTCGCGCAGAACAATATAAATGAGGATCAGAAGGAATATCCTCTAATCAAGGCTAGAACCCAGGGAAGGTAAAGAGTGCCTAGCATTGTACTTCTACCATTAAAAGCTCTACCCAAGACCAGGAGCCTTGTATTTGTCTTCCTCTCCCCATTTCAGTTCAAAAGGGAAAGAAGCCGGCCAGGTGCAGTGGTTCACACCTGTAATCCTAGCACTCTGGGAGGCCAAGGTGGGCGGATCATTTGAGCTCAGGAGTTCAAGACCAGCCTAAGCAAGAGCAAGACTCTTGCTCTCTACTAAAAAAAAAAAGAAAAATAGAAAAACTGTAGTCCCAGCTACCTGGGAGGCTGAGGCAGGAGGATCACTTGAGCCCAGGAGTTTGAGGTTGCTGTGAGCTAGGCTGATGCCACGGCACTCTAGCCCAGGCAAGAGAGTGAGACGCTGTCTCAAACTCTAGCCTAGGCAAGAGAGTGAGACTCTGTCTCAAAAAAAGAGAAAGAAGCCCCTAACTCTGTTCTTTTACAGAGTAGGTACCAGGCACTTAGAATGGGCCAAGTTTCTGGTTCCTATGTAGCCCTCCCAGTAGTGTAAACATAGGTGGTCCAAGTAATCTCATTGGGACCTTAACCTGCAACCCAGCCTATGGCCTAAGTTGCAGTGCCCCAGCCAACACTATAGCAGGACTTGCTCTTGTCCCCATATGCAGTAAAACGAAATGTGACACCTTGGTTCAGTTCCATCGCCTGTGCCCATCAGCATTTCCCCCCAACATAATTCCCTGATTCTGAGGTAGCTCTCCTCATTTTCAGATAAAGAAGGCAAGCAAAGAGTAAATTCCTCTTACAATGAAAGGCTAATACCCCCTAAAATGAAGAATCATGAAGGTCTCAGTTCAAGTTTAATAGAAACTACAAAAGATCAATGGGCTGATGCCCTCTACTGATACATCGTACAAATCAGATGGCCTGCCCCACAGCACAACTCAGGCCATTCCCACCAAGGGAAGGAAGGCTGGCCTCCCCAACCCCTGTAGGAAAAGCCTGTCTTATAACACACCACATCTCAGCTGAATCTAAAGTCTGTGTCTTGTGTTTTACGTGTGGAAAAAAAAGCACAAAAGAGGTTTTGTTCTCATGGCTGCCCACTGCAGCCCAGCACTAAAGTGGCCCAATACTCATTTCTGCTTGGAGAAATATTCTTTGCTCTTTTGGACATCAGGTTTGATGGTATCACTGCCAGGTTTCCAGCCAGCTGGGCACACTGCAAGAGAAAGGTACCACTAATTAATAACCTGCTCAGTGGTGTGTACCACCTTCCTCCTATGGACAAAAGGTTGCCTCAAAACCACATCTGTGCCCTAGAGGGTCTGACTACTCCAGACACCAGGAAACCTACCCTGGTGTAGGTAAATCTAAGATCATTTAGCCTTTTAGTGTTTAAGTGTAATTACTTTACAAACATTATGTAATTTAATCCTCACCACAGCCCTAATATACAATTATGCCTGATTTACTCAAGTAACACCTAAAATTTAAAGAAATTAACAGCTTTAACCATAGGCTTTGTTCTAAACATCTGTTCAAAGCATATATGGAGAAACAGTAAGATTTGTTAATGCTAAGTAGTAGGTAAATGGGTATTCATATGTTCTCCACAATTTTATGTATGCTTCAAATACTTTTTTTAAAAAAAAGCTCAAGGCCAGGTGTGGTGGCTCACATCTGTAATCCTAGCACTCTGGGAAGCTGAGGCAGGAGAGGACTGCTTGAGGTCAGGAGTTTGAGACCAGCCTGAGCAAGAGCAAGACCCCATCTCTACTAAAAATAGAAAAATTAGCCTGGCATCATGGTATGCACCTACAGTCCCAGCTACTCAGGAGGCTGAGGCAAAAGGATTGCTTGAACCCAGGAGTTTGAGGCTGCAGTGAGCTACTATGACACCACTGCACTCTACAAAGGGTGACAGAGAAGACTCTGTCTCAAAAAAAAAAAAAAAAAGCATCAATGACCTAAGAGCTAAAACTCTTTGAAGAAAACAGAGGGAATCTTCATGACCTTGGATTTGGCAAAATTAAGAACTTTTGTACATCCAAGGACATTATCAAGAAAACATAAAGAGAACTCACAGAATGGGAGAAAATATTTACAAAGCATATATCTGATAAGGGATTAATATCCAAATAACATAAAGAAATCCTACCACTCAACAACAAAGACAACCCAATTCAAAAATGGGCAAAGGACTTAAATAGACATTTCTTCAAAGAAGATATATAAAAGGCCAACTGAGTATATGAAAATATGCTCAATATCACTAGTCATCCAGGAATTGCAAATCAAAACCATCCTGAGATATCATCTCACACACATTAGGATGGCTATAGTAAAAAACAGTAAGTGTTGGCAAGGATGTAGAGAAACTTGAACCCTTCGCATTGCTTATATGAATGTAAAATGGTGCCAATGTGGGAAAGTGTGGCAGTTCCTCAAGAAGATAAACATGGAATTACCACATGACCCGGCAATTCCATTCCTAGGGTATATACCCAGGAGAATTGGATACATGGACTCAAACAGATACTTGTTCACCAATATTCTAACAGCAACAACCAAAAGGTAGAAACAACTCAGTGTCCACCAACAGATGACTGGATAAACAAAGTGTGGTACATAACATACAGGGAGTATTATTCAGCCAAAAAGAAATGAAGTTCTGATACATGATACAACATGGATGAACCTTAAAAATATTAAGTGAAAGAAACCAGACACAAAAGGACAAATATTGCATGATTTCGCTTACATGAACTATCTAGAAAAGGCAAATTCATAAAAATAGAAAGTAAAACAGAGATTGTTACTAGGGGCTACAGAGAAGAGGAAATAAGGAATTTCTGCTTAATGGTTGGACTCTGAAAGATGAAAAAGTTCTAGAACTAGATAGTGGTGATAGGTATACATTATGAATGTAATTAATGCCACTGAATTGTACACTTAAAATGAGTAATTATGTCATGTGTTATCAAAACTTTCCAAACAGAAAAAAAAGGGCAAAGTTTAAATGATTTGCCATCACCCTCCCATCCCCAAGGAAAACAAAAACAAAAAGCAAGCTAAATAAATGACAAAGCTAGGACTGTGTAAACATTTAACACTAAGCTGCTGTTTCCCTCTGGCAGTCCTTCAGAGATCTGGAGGCAGCAACCTCAGTCTACCTTCTCAGCATTCTTTTAACTCTGCCAAACTGCACAGCCTCAACTACAATGATCAGGGCCTTAACAGAAAGCCCTGCTTGTTTCATTAAATAACTGCCTTCTACCTCTTGGTAAGCAAAAGGCAGGGTATGAAATCTTTTACACATTTATACAGAAAGCATAGCCTTCAGCTTTTTCCTAACAACCTCCAGCTAGCAATGTGCCTTAGTCTAGCCTGAGGAAAGTGAGACGGGGACCAATCTCTGATTTTTCAACTTCCATTTGCTGTCAAATTCTAGGAGTCATAGTCTCCAAAGTCCATAACAGAGGAGCGAGTCTCATTTGCTCAAGTGAGAGACAGGGAAGCCCCTTTTTGGTCCAAGGATATGACAGCATCAGATGTCAAGACTCTGCATCCAGCTCTCTGGGTACAGGGTAAAGATGGAACAAAAGCTAAATGGAGGGCCCAGCTGCCATTATTTTCCTGAAATATCCATCTGGTTGTTATAGTTACTGGCTTTAGTGGCACTGAAGGGTTACAACACAGGTCCTGAACATAACACAAGCTGTAGCGAACAAAGAGCAGCATGAAAGCAAGACCAGGCCAGAGCCAGCTAGAAGTCTGCCAGCAGGTGCTAAGAGGCAAACAAAAAAGATTCCTCTGTCCAGGATGACACAAAGAACTGGGCTTTATAGTTAAACAGGAGGAATAATGGACCAAAAAAGACCTTGGCAATTCAGTCTCTTTGGCTCTAAGGCCTCATGGCTCTTACAACACTTGTATTAGTGACAGAAAGATCCCTACTTAAATGTTTCACTCATACCCAATAGTGTTGCTTTTCTGGAATTAAAATGGATTCCAGTAGAACATGTTGAGTTCCATATAAACCAGCCTTCAAGTGCAGCAAAAGTGTCCTGACTCTCCAAGGAGAAAATGACAACAGACACGGTAACCTCAGTATGAGAACTGCTCTAGTACAGAAGGCCCTAAAGAGAGTCCTTTTTCAGCATTTTAATTACATACAAAAGAAGGAGGGCTATGAATTTGGATCCCAGCTCTACCATTTACTATGAATAAATGATATATTTTAAATATTGGTTTACTGGTCCTTAAAAAGAATGTAGGATTATTTGTCAAACAGAACATATGTAAAGTACCTAGGATAGTGTGTTTGGCATTTATAAGCTCTTAAATGGTGACTATTAAAAAGGCTGTATACAGAAAGCTGTGCATGTTCTTCTAGTGGGACAAGCAGCAGGAGATACATGCAGATGTCAAGATGAGATTTAAAAAGAGAGAGAGAGAAGCAGCAGAGACCAACACAGAGCCTGAAGAAGCAAGCTACAGAGTCACCTAAAGCTTGAGTTCAGAAGTCTAGCCTGTATGTAAGGTCCTAGGAAAGTCCAGTTCTCTTTAGTGCTGAACCTCATTCCCCACTAGGGGGCAGTCTCAGCCGGTGTCAGCTCCTTCATAGGCCAGGCTAACGCTCACACATGCTTCTGCAAATTACAATTACCTCCTGGTTATCAGTGCTCACTGATCCCTACATTCTCAGACTTTTACTCTAGAGAAGCTAGCACCTTTGAGTCTCTTAAACACGGAGCACTAATCCAGACTCTAACAACTTCATTTCTTTAACTCACATGATCAGAGCTAAAATGGGCCTTAGAAAACTAGTGTGAACTACTTGTCTCCAGAAAAACATGATGAGATGTAGTGAAGGAATAAATTTGTCTAAGTCTACCTCTGCCCTTGATTTGATGTCAATAGCACTCTATCAGAATTATCTTATCCTCAGTTACATTAAACTGGAGAGAGGAGTCAAGATCCTCATTCCCCCACATACCCAGCATTTTGCTGGTTCAGGAACTGAGTTTTTTTTTTTTGTAAGGCGAGCACAAAAATGAGGTTTATTGAGGAGAAAGAGCAAGATATAGGTTTACAGATCCTGATACATACGCCACAGATGATGATGACGACCAGACCCACCGTCGCAGCAAAGGGAGAGCAAAAGGAAGGGTGCAAAAAAAGAGGAGAACCAAGTTCTTAAAAGCTAAGCTAACTCTTAGCCAGGTTAAGGTTGTTTCATTTGAATGACAGCCACACTCAAAGAGAAGGGGAAAAAAGTCAAAGAGCCTTACAACTCAAAAGCCAGGATCAAGTGGTTCAGTGCTTTTTTTTAATTTACAACAATGCTACCAGAACAGGTAAAGAGAGAAGTACCAGTGCTGAGGCAATAGGGAAAAAAAGGCCCTGCATTCTAGCAAATGCTAGATAAAAAACAAAAGTTGAATGTGTCCAGTCTTGTGTAGGTTTTACAAGGACAGACTTACAAAAACATTATCTTTGATCCTGAGACTTCTAACGAAGAACCTTGACATTTTATCTGAAACATCCTACCTCAACCCCTCCTTTAAAAAAGCTTTTACATAAAACATTTACGTAATTTGGTATTTAATAACTGTAACTTACAAATTCAACTATCATATTGTGTAACAGAATGGATTTTTTTTTTTTAGAGGTGGGGGTCTCCTTTCTTGCCCAGGCTGGAGTACAGTGGCTAGTCACAGGCTTCCTTACAGCACACTGCAGCTTCAAATACCTGGTCTCAAGTGATCCTTCTGCTTCAGCCTCACAAGTAGCTGGGACTAGAGGCATGTGCCACCATACCTGGCTACAGAATGAATTTTTAAATAACAGAATTGTATTAAATGCATCTGCCTATTGTCTTGGGTAAGTTATCTTAGTCCTTTTATTTTCCAAATTTCCAAACTGCACATATTATTTTTTAAAACTCCAATAAAAACAAGTATAAATGACAGGGATTAAGCTCTACTCCCAATAAATTGTCAAAAGTGGCATTCTTTATCTCTAGATGTGATTCTCAACCTTTTTGTTTTGCCCTAATACATCTATGAGATCTTCCTATACTCCAGTAAATTAGATCTGTAGCAGTGATTCTAAATGAGGGCAGAGATGGGAGTACGTAGTTTGAACAAAAAGCCTTTATATTCTCATCCCCAAGCTTTTCCATCACCCTTGCTCCCACTGTAATCCAGACTTCAATTTCTTGAAGAGACATACTTACCTTTTTCTTATTTGGTAGACTTTGGTCCTACCATCTTTCCCACCCTACCACCACTCTGTTCTCCTGTTACCAGACAGATAACTTACCTTCCCCATGTTTGTCAGTGAACTGGAAGGCCTGAACTAGTCTCAGAGTCTCATCCACAGAGCGACCAACGGGGAGGTCATTTACAGTGATCTGCCGAAGGGTACCCTTATCATCAATAATAAACAGGCCCCTGGAAGAAAGAGATTCAAGGATTAAGGGAGAAGCAATACAGGTTTAGAAATCTGCTTTGTTAGAAGCTTCAAGTCCTTGGGAAATGGGCTGGTCTCCAAGACTTGTACTGGATTTGCCCTTAGTGAGGTGGTCCTTGCATAAAAGAATGAAATGAAGGAGACTCTACAGATCAGGGCTCTAGCTTTCTCCAAATAAATGGCTTTAGCAAACTGGATTTTTTTTTTTTTTTTTTTTTTTTTTTTTATTGAGACAGGGTCTTGCGCTGCCTCGACTCTGGCTAGAGTGTAGTGGCATCATCACAGCTCACCGCAACCTCAAACTCCTAGGCTCAAGCGACCCTCCTGCCTCAGCCTCCTGAGTAGCTGGGACTACAGGCTCATGCCACCACATCCGGCTAATTTTTCTTTTTTGTAGAGATGAGGTCTTGCTCTTGCTCAGGCTGGTCTCGAACTCCTGGCCTCAAACGAACCTCCCATCTTGGCCTCTCAAAGTGTTAGGATTACAGAAACGAGCCACTGCACCCAGCCCCAATTGGATAATTCTGATGACATACCTGAACGAGATGCCTTCATCAGTCTTTAAGACCCCATAATCCTGCGCGATGGTACGCTTGGGGTCTGATACCAAAGGAATGTTCATGGGTCCCAGTCCTCCTTGTTTCTTAGGTGTGTTGATCCTGCAGCAAAAGGCACACATACAATCATGTTCATTCAAGCTCTTGTGTAGCAAGAACATTAACTGTATCTACTCCTCCTTTCTCTTTCCCATATTCCTAATCTAACTTTCCCAAAAAAAACTTCAAACATTTTCCGGCAATAAAGTAAATGGCTGAGAATAGTCAAGGTAGGTCACCAGGGTACACTCAATTGTAACTCAACCTGCTTCTCCTCTGTTGCCAGGTAATGAGAGCTACAAGAGAAAGTCAGAGCCTTTGCACTCCTTCCATGAGGAGCCAGAAACCAATACCTGAAAGTCTACTGCCAAAGCCTCCCAAGCTGCTGCTTAAAAAGTCCACATGCCAAATGGAAGAAGAGATTTACCATGCCAGGTGACAGAAGTGAGAATCCACAGAAGCACCAATCACTTGGCAGTTGAGTTTCTTAAATTCTTCTGCCCTATCACTGAAAGCGATGATCTCCGTCGGGCAGACAAAGGTGAAGTCAAGAGGGTAAAAGAAGAACACAACGTATTTTCCTGGGGTAAAAAATGGGAATCATCAGTTAGCCTCTGAAGCAGACTTCCTTGCTTTATGGAGAATAAGTCAAAGACATTTTCCTATGGAAAAAGAAGTTTTCTTTTTAAGTTGATGGCAGACAAAATAATCACTAAATGCCAAGATATTCAATACAGATATCTCCTAGTAGCTATTTTTAGAACTTGTTGCAGCAAGAAGGCCTGAATGAAAAAAGTTCCTTCCAATTCCAGCTCTATTTTCTTGCCTCCATATTCTTAGCTGCCAACTACAGAATAAACACTGTTCCGTCTAATTTTGATCTTCTCCGAGTGACTAAAATTAGCATAAACACTAAGTTCTCCAATGAAGAAAAGCAAGGATGTAATTATCTACAGGATAGCCTAATGCCAATGCTTACAAACTGCCCAGAGAAAGCTGCATTGCTGGTTTCTCCTCTGCTGTGAAGCAGTAAGACACCAATAAGAACTTAGAGCCTTTGTTATTTCTTCCACAATGAACCATAGCAATGGTTTAAGTGATCACATGTGTTCCTAACACACCTGACAGGACAAAAAAAAAATTTAAGCTCAGGGCAGTGGTGCATGCCTGTAGTCCCAGCTTCCAAGGAGGCCAAAGTGGGAGGATCCCGTGAGCCCACAAAGTTCAAAGCCAGCCTGAGCAACACAGCAAGACCCTATCTTAAAAAAACATTTATAAAACAAAAGTACTGGTAGGTGACAGGACTTTTAGCAGCAATTTTAATGAAGTCACTCAGATTACCATTGCAGTACATCTTCAAACTGGCCAGGCAGCCTCTCACCACACCTGAACTACTGGAACAATTCCAAATATTCACTCATTTCCAGGTAGTAGCAATGTTTCAAAGTCGAAAACAAGTGGCCCTTTTTGACGTTTACCTCTTTGAAAAGCCATATCACTAGAAACTGACTCATCTAAACAACCTCTCCAGGGCTTTGCTTAACAAGCACTTTGAAGCCTCTGCAGGTCAAGCCCTAGAGAGCAGAGAGCAGCTCCTCCTAGATCTCCCCTTTATACCCCTGGGCCAAAGTCTCCTCCCTAGGGTGCTATTTACCCTGTTTGCCAGGAGGAGCCCCAACAACCTAGTGTGATATGTCAAACAACCTAGTCAAATGTTCTATGCAAACAGCTAATTCCAGGAATTAATACTATACCACCAAGAAAGTACACCTGACACCTGAGTTTCAGGTTTGTATTCTAAGGAAATCTATATCCTGGATTGTCCCAGGAGTCTCAAAAGAACTTGCCAAGTGTCTGCATGAAACTAGGACAACAGGAAAGGAAGCTGTTCCAACTGTAACATCAATTCTCCTCTGAGGGCAAAAGTCAAGGGAATGTACCTAAGCCCTCTGCCTAATGTAATATCTTTGACACATACATTTCCCAAACAAACTGAACAAGCAGTATCACAGCTCCAAAGACTTGAGCTTAGGCTTTAAGTGTAGAAGGCCTCTTGTAACAGGAGATAATAATGAGAATTTCTCCAATAATACAATTGAGTAGTACTGAAAAGATAGTTGAACTAATATGTCCAGCCATAATGAAACGTGCTTTCTCCATAAGTGGTCTGGACCTAGGATATATATCCTGTGAGCACTGTTGATAATCACCGCTTCAACCAGAAGGCAACAGCAAGGCAACAGCCTCATGATCTAAAGATTCCATCCTAGGAGATGTAAAACATTTTAGAGTCAAACATAACAGTAACAAAGCACAACATGCACTCACCATCAAATTGTTATTAGCTGATCAACACTTATGTGCACATATATATAGTAGTAATATTCATTGGCTGTTGGGCAGGTGGGAGAGGGGAGGGGGGATGGGTATATTCACACCTAAAGGATGTGTGGTGATAAGCAGTCTGGGGGATGGACACGCTTGAAACTCTGACTCGGATGGGGCAAAAGCAATATATGTAACCTAAACATTTTTACTCCCATAATATGCTGAAATTAAAAACAAAGAAAAAAAAAAAAAAACATAGCAGTGACGCAAATCTAACAAGCCATCCCTAGATTACAAAATAATTCCACCCCAATGAGTCCAATGTAGTTACTTTTACCTTTGTAGTCAGATAGGCTGATATCTTTGAACTGACCATCTGGCATAACAGCTGTGGCTTTGAAGTTGGGGGCAGGGTGCCCAATTTTGGCATTTCCTGAAGACATGTTGCTTTTAGCTGGAAAAGATAACAGAAAAATTAGAAACAAGCCTTATTTTTCTAGATAACCAGCAACCTTCACCTACTTAGAGACTCTGCTATAGAACAATCAAAGAATTGCCCAGTGGCCCTGAATACATCAAATTTTATATTAGTAAGAAGTGCAGACAGCAGTCAAGGACCACAATCTGAACTTTCCAACTTCTGGAACAAAACAAGCCTCTGAATCTCAGCCTTTGTTTTCATTTAAAAACAGCAAGGCAATTTCTTTATAAATTGAGGTCATCATTGTGACTCTTTATGAGCCTTTGTTTGTGCAATGGCAGTTTGTTCTGTATATTATACAGAAGCAGAGTAAAAAAAAAAAAAAAAAGCAGCAGAGTGTGAGGGGGGTGGAGATTCTCAAACCAGAACACAAATATACAATGCCCCAAACAAAAAGTCATGTTGCCCTTTATCTGCACTGTGCCTCCACCTGCCTTCATAATGTGGGAAGCACATTTGACTTTTCTCCAGGTAGATTTGTCCAAGCCAGCACACAACCTAAAACCAATCCAACATTTTAAAAGGCAAGACCAAGATACTGCATCTGCTCAACTGTAACACTTTCGGTACTATGTTTAAGCCCTAGAAGTCCTTTCAAAAATGGGTTCCTGACCTCGTGGCTAATATCTTGAGGCATAAATAGGTAGAACAAGAGTCAATTTATTGCTGAAAGCAACATCGCACCATATTTACTCAGGTCAACACCAAGATAAGGAGTTAAGATTTAATCCACTAAGTAAGTCATGGTCTTCAAGTTTTTCTGGGCTGGGGGTGCGGTGGCTCACGCCTGTAATCCCAGCACTCTGGGAGGCTGAGGTGGGAGGATCCTTTGAGCTCAGGAGTTCCAGACCAGCCTGAGCAAGAGTGAGACCTCCGTCTCTACTAAAAATAGAAGAAACTGGTTGGACAACTAAAAATATATAGAAAAAATTAGCCAGGCATGGTGGCACATGCCTGTAGTCCCAGCTACTCGGGAGGCTGAGGCAGAAGGATTGCTTGAGCCCAGGAGTTTGAGGTTGCTGTGAGCTAGGTTGATGCCACGGCACTCTAGCCCAGGCAACAGAGTGAGACTCTGTCTCAAAAAAAAAAAAAAAGAAAAGAAAAAAAGTTTTTCCAACAAGTCCGAATTCTTGGTTCATAACGTCAAAACCAAAAAAATCTTGTGAACATGGATCATTGTGAACTTTTTACTGCTTATTTTTAAAAAAATCTTTTAACATTTTTAACAAAAAAAAGTGCACACAACTTGGCAACCAACTACAGGGTGTGACCCTAAATGGCCTTCTCGTCCAAATCTGCTTTTCCAGGTGCACCGCCCCCCCCCACGTCCAAGGCCCAACCAAACCGGGATAAAGGCTGCTGGACTTCTAGCTGGTGCAGGGCCCCTTCAAGGGGTGTGCCCAGAAACCCTAAACTCCACTTTAAGTACCCTCTTGCCACTCCCATCATCACCCGCGTCCTAGCACTTTGGAAAGTGCCAGCAGAAAGAGTGCGCAGTCCTCAACGAGGGCATTTGGGATCATCAGAAACTTTATTTTCCACGGACCGGAAAATAAACAGTTGAAAGGGAATCTTAAAGCCCAGCTCCACCGCTAGTCAATGCTCAGGGACGGGAACAGCCTTTAACCCGTCACATGATGGTCGGGCCGCCTTCTACAGCCACAGGTCAGGATGCAGGTCCACTCAAGCTTTTCGAACCCGCCCAGCCCGGCAGGAGGCTTAGTCGAGGAGACACCGACACCGACAACACCACCAGCACCACCCGACCCACGCCACCGCAAGCTTATCATCGGCCTATGCTCGGGTTGCCAGGGGAAGAGATTCGAGTCAACCGAAGCCTTGAGCCACTCCCATCATCACCTCCGCCCTAGCACCTCGGAAAGCACCAGCAGAAAGAGTGCGCAGTCCTTAGCCAGGGCATTTGGGATGATCAAAAACCCCATTCGACGGACCGGAAAATAACGACAGGAAAGGGAATCTTAGTGCCCCAAGCTCCGCGGCTAGTCAAGGCTCAGGAACGGGAACAGCCTTTACCCCATCACATGATGGACAGGCGGCCTTCTACAGCCACAGGTCCGGATGCAGGTCCATTCAAGAAGCTTTCCGAATCCGCCGAGCCCGGCAGGAGGCTGAGTCGGAGACCCCACCACCGCTACCAGCCCGCCCCCAGCCGCGGCAAGCCCATCAACGGCCTGGGCTCGGGTTGCCAGGAGAAGAGGAGACTCGAGTCGAGAGAAGCCTTGGGGTTGAACCAGGTCCCAGCACCCACTGGGGTGGGCACGTGGGCGTTCACATAGCACCCGAGCTCTCCCGAGCGCCAGGCCTTGAGTGGCCGCTTCATGCGCCACAGCATCCCCACCTGAGGGCGGGCGGGTCCACAGGAGGAGAAAAAGGCGACAGGCGCGGTATGGGACGCTGCGCCTCGCTCTGCCGTGGCCGCGCTGCCCACAGACTCACCTGTTCCAAAACAGAAGTCGTGAACAATTAAGACACCTACACCAGCCAGGAAGACGACTCGCAAAGCACACTCGGGGCGCTGCCTATATAGCCTGTAAGGCTCTCGCGAGAGTTAGAAGGGGCCTGGGTGCGGGAGGAGGATGCAGCAGGGGGAATCTGTCCGAGCCCCGCCACGCCCCAGCGTGCCCCACCGGAATGACTCAGCGCTTTCCCTCCTTGGGGCGGGCGTGGGCCCAGAAGGAACTAATCGTCCTCCCCGCCGCGGATGGCTGAGGTTGAAGAGAGAGGCGCTCTTTTGACTGCCCCCAAATCCAGACGCTAATCCGGGATCTCTTCAGGGAAGCAGGATTTTCTTTATTTTTGTGATCCCTGCGCACTGTGCCCTCAATGCTAGCTGCTGCCCACATTTAATCCCACCAAGCCCTGAGAACTATCTAGATATTTCTAAAGTTCGCAGCCTCAGCCCTATTGTTGATCCTCAGTAACCTTCACTACTTGGACACTCTTCTTCATTGTTATCTTTGATTACAGGGTTGCTGCTTTTTATCTCCTATTCATTCCTTCCACTGTTGCTGAAGGAAGTCTTTCCGAAATCTGATCACGTCACTCTTATTTGTGGTTTTAAAAAACTGTGGCTAGGATGGACGGGCGGGGTATGGGGCGGGGTGGCTCACACCTGTTATCTCCGGGGAACTCTTACCTTGAAGCAAGGAGTTCGAGACCAGCCTGAGCAACAAAGCGCCACCCTGTCTCTACCAAAAAACATTTTGTTTTCATTATCCAGGCGCGGTGACA